ACTTCATAAACTTCCGTTGTGCTCTTCCAATAACTGTGCTATAGCATTCATAGTAAGGGCTCCAAATAATACTACAATATTCGACTTTGGATCTAACATAAGCATAATATAATAGCTTAATAGACTTTATGTCATGAAAATTCCTGCAATTCCTTACTATGAAACCATAAGCCGCCAATGCTTCTGATGCTTTTTTATTTATATGCTGACTAAAAGTTAACTTTTGATCATAGATTATACCTACATCACGTACATCAGAGCATCTTTCTAGCACAGACCCATCAATAGAGTACGGATATTCGCAAACATTAATTTTCCTGGTATAGCTGACTATTTTACACTTCCTCACATTAAGCTCCAACTTGTTTTCTACACACCACGGCAGCACAAAATTTAAATGGTGTTGTAGCTTGACACAATCATCAGGAGTATTTATCTGCGAATAATACATTTATATCTTTTTGCATTTTCCCTTGACATTATTGAATCTTTTTGAAACAACTTTCCATTTAAAATGTCTACTAACGGTTCAGATGATTACCAACCAGCTGAAATTTCTGATAACGTTCATGCGAACATTGAACCTTATAGATTATCTGAAATATTTTCGATTGTACCCGAGTACGATGGAAACCCGATATTGCTATCGACCTTCATCAACGCGTGCCGAACGGCATATCAAATGGCCGTCGAGGAGCAGCGGCTTCTAGTCGTTTTACATATTAAAAACAAACTTCGCGGACGTGCCGCCGAACTTTTGAACAGCCGAAACCCTTCCACGTGGGAAGACATACGGTTCCTGTTAGAAACGCACTTTGGAGATCTTAGAGATCTCACATCCTTAATCGCGGATCTTCAACACATGCGCCAACTCCCCAACGAATCACCCCTAACCTTTGCATCTAGACTGCAGACGCATGCAGCCAAAATGCATTCCGCCGTGAATAGGCAAAATCTAAATCGCGAGCAAAAATCTGCTCAAAGTTCCCTCATCGAAACGATGACATTAAATTGTCTATTAACAGGATTAGACTCAAAAATAGGACCTGTTGTGCGATCAGGACATCCCACGGATATCCTGACCGCAGTTTCGTATATCAAACGAGAGTTACAACTCTCATATTTGGAACGACAAAAATTTTCCAGGGCCCCAAACCCGAATCAAAATTCAGTTAATCGAAGACCAAACCCTAAAATTTGTAATTTTTGTAATCGTCCCGGTCACTTGGCAAATGAATGCCAACGGAGACAACAGTCTACAAGTTTTGCCCCAAGACAGTTTAACCAGCCCCAGCCTCAAAATTACCCTAGGCCGAATCAACCTATGCAAGTTAGACCATCTACATCTAACTACCATCAAAATTCTAATCAATATCCTCCCAGACCATCTGTAATACGACCAAATGCGCCTAACGCGAGTGCGCCAAAACCCTCTGTAATTCAGAGCAATCCAAATTTCCAAAACCCTAATTTTCAAAGAAATTTTAGACAAAATCCTCCCAATCGAATTAATTATGTCGCCCCTGATTCTTACGATTATTCCGACTACAGTGAACCAGACCTATACAACACGGACTACGCTAATGAATATGACGATACCCAATACTCCGCCTACACACCTTCCCCATACGATGATTTTAGAGAACCCAGTAACTATTTTTGTTACGAATATAATCAAACCGCCGATACATTTGTTGACAACGCTTATTCGAACATACAACAATTCCAGGATTTTCGGACCAAGTGTTTGAAAGAGAAACCCCCTGCGGAACCCACCGACAGTACCGCGATAGTATGTGCGAATTTGCGAATCTCAGTGTCGAGGACCCGAACGCGAAACCGTGTGCGAGCGTCAGCAACACGCGATCAGATGTTTATATAAACCCTCCGTTTATGGTCCCGTCGACAATTCACCCCGTTAGCCCAGACAACTTATATTACATTAAAGATGCTACTGGAAAATTCAAAATTCTCATTGACAGTGGTGCAGGTTGCTCCATTTTCAAACCTAACACTTGTCAAAATTATACTAATCGTGTCGCAGAAAATATCTCTATCCGAGGTATTACTGACGAAAAAATTAGTATTACTGAAGCAGTCTTAGTCCCATTTGCTCCCAATGATTATCACAAAATTTATGTCCATGATCTAGATATTTCATTCGATGGCCTTCTTGGGTCAGATTTTCTTGAACATTATGATTGTATTATTGATTTGAAAAATCGTCAATTGATTACAAATTTCAAAACAGTCCCTCTTTTCAAAGTAGGTGACGAAAATAATTCCAAAGCTTCTCAATTTAAAGAAAAGTCCCAAGCTTCGCAATTTAAAGAAAATTCTCAAGTTCAAAATGTTATTTCCATTCCTCCCAGAGTTGAACAAGTTGTCAAGCTCAAATCCGAGCTGAGAAATACTGAAAGCATTCTTCTGGCATGTGAGGTAGAAAAAGTCCGTCTACCGAGTTCCATAGTTAAAATTGATTCTAAAGGCGAATTCCTTACTACGGTATTAAACTGTAATGCCATTCCAAAAAATGTAATTTTACCCCAATTAACTTTCGAGCCCTTTAACGAAACTTCTATCAATAATTTCAACACTTCTTTACAAAATCAAAGTCAGTATAACCGTAGAGATGTTATTAGAGATCAATTACGTCTCGATCATCTCAAAGAAGAGGAAAAAGATTTAATTACGAATCTTTGTTTAGATTTTTTGGACATATTCTATTTAGATGGTGATAGCCTGTCATTTACAAACGAAATTAAGCATTCCATTGATACCACTACCAGTAAACCAATTTTTACCAAATCCTACCGATACCCTTATGTCCACAAGCAAGAAGTCAAAGATCAAATTTCAAAATTACTAAAACAAGGTATTATCGAACCTAGCACATCGCCATGGAATTCTGCGGTGTGGGTTGTACCAAAGAAAATGGACGCCTCTGGTAAACAGAAATGGCGAATGGTGATTGACTATCGTAATCTTAACGAAATCACCATCGATGATAAATATCCCCTGCCAAACATTTCCGATCTACTTGATCAATTAGGGAAATGCCAGTACTTTAGTACACTGGACTTGGCATCTGGATTTCATCAAATCGAGATAAATCCAGTTGATGTTCCTAAAACTGCATTTTCAGTTGAAAACGGACATTACCAATTCTTGAGGATGCCTTTTGGTCTCAAGAACGCTCCTGCCACGTTTCAACGTGTCATGGACAACATCTTGATGGGTATACAAAACGAAAGATGTCTTGTATACATGGATGACATAATTGTCTATTCCCCCTCCATCCAAGAACACATCAGTAGGCTTACCGACATTTTTACGCGTCTTCGGAAGTCGAATTTCAAAATCCAGCCTGATAAGTGCGAATTCCTCAGAAAGGAAGTAGCCTATCTTGGTCATGTAATAACCTCTGATGGCGTTAAGCCCAATCCAGATAAAGTGGATTGCATAAAAAATTTCCCTCAGCCCAAGAATCCTAAAGAAATAAAATCTTTCTTAGGTCTTGCAGGTTACTACCGACGCTTTATACCAAACTTTGCCAAAATTGCGAAACCCCTTACCAGACTATTACAGAAAGACGCAGTATTTGACTTTCATAGCGAGTGTGTTAAGTCATTTGATACTTTAAAAAATGCTTTAACAACATCTCCTATACTGATCTACCCCAACTTTGAAGAGCCTTTTGTGCTTACAACAGACGCAAGCGCTTTTGCGATATCTGCCATAGGTAAAGATCTCCTGATAGCCTATGCATCTCGTACACTTTGTAAAGCAGAAACGAGATATTCCACCATTGAAAGAGAACTTCTAGCTATTGTCTGGAGTGTAAAACATTTTAGACCTTATTTGTATGGTCGAAAGTTTAAACTTGTAACATACCATAGACCCCTTACGTGGCTCCTCAAGCTAGAGGAGTACGACTATGAAATAGTGTACAAGCCAGGCAAAGCTAATAAAAATGCCGATGCCCTATCACGTATCAAATTACCCAAAACTGTTAACGCCCTTACCCATAGTGACGATGAAGGAGAACCTTCTACCCAATTTTCCGAAAGTGAATTTGACATCTTTGCCCGCCTTTACAAAACCACATCCCTGATCGATTATTCCAAAATCCAATTTTCAAATTCCCAACTCCTAGACAAAAGTCATAAACATATCGTCACGTTTTTCAGACAAAACACTCTATCTGATCTTCACGAAAAAATTATCGAAGACATATTCGAGGAAAATCTTGATTTTTCTGTAGATAAAATTAACATCGCGTCTAGCAAAACAATTAAAGATAGAAAATACTATATTATTCCTGTGCCATACGATCCCGTAACTTGCATACATCATCTTTTCTCTGTAATTTTAACCAACAAAGGTGTATTCGACCTATCCCAACAAATTTACGTTGAAAATAATTTGGACTTACCCATTTTAGAAATTTTCTCTTTTATTTTTTCGGATGATAATATCAAACTTGTCGTTTGCCAAAACGTCACCAAAACTCCTAGTCCCGATGAAATCCCCGTCATTTTAGATCAATACCATTGTGGTAAGAAAAACATTCATCGAGGAATTAATGAAACAATTAGGCGAATTCGTCAACGATATAATTGGCCCGGCTTAACTAAAGACGTTGAGCATTTCATCAAAAAGTGTGAAATTTGTCAAAAGACTAAAATTTGTCGTAAAAGCCTCAGTGCCCCTATTGTAGTAACTGTAACCCCTAAAGCCCCGTTCGAAAGAATCAACATTGACATTTTGGAAGTCCCACCTAAATGCTACGCTCTCACAATCCGAGACGAGCTAACAAAATTTTCTCAAGTCTATCCAATTAGCGACAAATCTGCAAAATCTGTAGTAAATACTCTACTTTTATATTTCCAACATTATGGTACACCTCTCCGAATACACTGTGATTCCGGAAAAGAATTTGACAACGCCCTCATGAAAGACCCTTGTAGTTTTTATGACATTAAATTAACTTTTTCTAGTGTCAGTCATCCCCAGTCCAATGGCTCGATTGAGCCATTTCACGCCACCTTATTGGAAATGATCAGATCCCATGTATCCGAAAATCCCGACGAACATCCCTTCAATATTCTTCCCTATGCTATTCAGTGCTACAATAGCACTAGAAATAAAACTACTGGCTTTACACCATACGAGCTCGTGTTTGGCCACACCTCTGGTCGTCCGCCCGAACACGTATATTTAGAAAAAGAATTAATGTCCAAGTATGTTCGAGACATTCGGAATAAACTCGAATATTACTACAAAATTGCCCGCGTGAGAACTGACGAACAGAAGCAAAAAGCAAAAATTCGCTTTGATAGTAGAGTGTCACCCAATTTACAATCATATAAAATTGGCGATAAAGTCTTTGTGAAACAGTCTCAAATTTCAAAGAAGCTTCAGAACAAATTTGATGGTCCATTCGAAATTACTCAAGTTTTTGAAAATTCTGCGCTCCTTAAGAACCCGGAAACAAATAGAATAAGTAAAGTTAATTTTGACAGACTGAAACCATGTTTTGAGACTTAGTTTCTCTTTCAGGTGCAGTCTGCTGTTTCTTGCGGCTGTCACAGCCCAGATAGACATCAAACCGATTAACAACACCTTAGGTATCTGTTTTCATGAAGACGCCCCTCTTAAGATTTCCAACGAAATTTGGACACTCCTTGTATATAAAGACTTAGAACTCATTAAGAAAGCACTTGACGATAACAACTATATTCTGGAACACTTATCATATCTCGTAGACAAACCCACCAATCGTATGAAAATATTTAGTGGTGAAATTAAAACTCATACAAGTCTCCTTTATCAAATTTCTCGTTCCTTGGAATCTAAATATTACGCGATCTTCGATGACACTGTAAGCGCATCGCGGATGAAACGCGGTCTGATTAACGCTATAGGTACCGTATGGAAAGCAATAACCGGCAACCTCGATTCATCGGACGGTGAATACTATAACGATTGTATTAACAAAATTTCTAAAGATGAACATGAGCTCGAAAACCTCATGAAGAACCAAATTTCTGTTACCATGTCGGTTATCAAGAATTTTAATAACACTATTCAAAAACTTGATGATGAAAAATGATTGATGAAACTACGTTTAATGAAGATATTAAGGTTATTGAAAACAAAATTTATGAAATTTCAGACGATCTTGCATTTTATGAAGCTAAATTCCAATTTTTAGAAGTTTGCGAACAATTAATGGAAAGCTACATGTTTCTGGAAGAGACAATTAATGATATTCTAAATTCAATTACTTTTGCACGTTTAAAAATAATACATCTTTCTATTATCACTCCTCAAGACTTAGTAAATTCTCTTCAAGAAATTTCTCACACTTTGTCGAGAAATAATTTACCCTTTCCGGTTAATTTAGCAACAGTGTCAGAGTACCTTAATCTTATGGAACTCGAAGCATATCAAACTAAAACAAGAGTAGTATTCGTTCTACGCATCCCGTTATTAGAGCCCGAAATGTATACTTTATACAGAGTGATTCCTCTACCCACTCTCGATAAACGTACTGGTTTGTTTCATGTAGTCTCCACTATACAGAGGTATATTGCTAAAGATAGCGATTCTCTTTTGTACGTTTCCTTTCAAAATTTAGGTAGTTGTAAAGTTCTTCAGTCTCAGGTGAAAATCTGTTTCAACCTCTTGCCGTATCCAATAGACAGTAATGCAGTCTGCGAAGCACAGTTGTTGCGAAATCCGGTCGATCTGCCGACAGCCTGCCAAATAGCAATTGTGGCATTGCAAGATTACAAAATCCAAGAACTTGCAACCAATTTTTGGCTAATCACCATATCGAGCCCTCTGCCAATTAAGATGAAGTGTGGACAACGAGAGACTACCACCAAAGTGATAAAAGTTAATTCACTTTTAAAAATGCAGCCCGAATGCAGTGGCTTTGTAGGCACCACGAGATTACATTCTAGATATTCTGTTAGCACCTACAAGAATATCACATACAAAAGTCACCCTGTAGAAGTACCCTACAAATGCTGTGAACATCTCCCAGAGAAACAAAATTTACCAAAATTAAAACCGATCAAGCTAAGCAAGATCGATACTGAAGAACTCGAAATTGCCAATCACAAATTAAACCAATATTCTGAACAACTGGACAAAATTATGAACGAGCCGTTTGTTTCGAGACATCTCTCATGGTTCACGTATTGTCCAAAAAATTATGGATAATGCGTGTCTTAGGGTCTAGAAGATTGCCATTTACAAGTTGAGGCACATTAAAATCTCCTAGAAACTGGGAATTACAGTCATGCAAATAATCCAGTTGCTCAACAGCATCAAAGAACGATTCACATTCATCAACAGCAATTTTGTCAGGAATGTAAATAACAGCCACAAAAAATGTCTTATATGCCACATGCCATCTCACTATTAAAAGATCAATTGATGGAAATTGTGCATCAAATACAGCAACATCTATAACCTCATATTTAATGCATTCCTTAACAGCTAGAAGCACTCCACCGCCACATTCCTTATCAACCAATGTAAACTTACGGTCCTTCCAATGAACAATATAAGAGTCAGGAATTAGTTCACCACTCAAAACATTCTCATTCAACCACGTTTCACTTAATGAAACTAAGTCATATTCACTATCACTAATAGCCGGACTGATTAAAATTATGGAAGCCATTTCGAACATGTTCTTTAAAAGTTAGTTAAATGAAATTATCTTCCACTATTTGTCAGTAAATAGCCCTAAAGAGCGGCTAAACAGGTTCTGTACTTGTAGGTGGTAAGGATTCTATTGCTTTTCTTACGTTTATCGCATCATAGAAACGAATTTGACATGATACACTCATCGTAGGAAGCTGAAATTTTCAGGGTTTATTCTACAAAGATTGAAATAGTTTTTACAATAAAATGAATAATGAAATACAACCACATTTTTTTTATCGCCCTCCAAAGTTGAGGGATGGACGAGATTTTTCACAAAAAAATGAATTTAAGATTTTTCTGATTTCTAACAAGCTCTGTTAAAAGTGACATAACCTTTGCTAAAACTAACAGCACATACTAACAGCAAATACGGAAATAGAGTCGATAGCCTCAGTGTTAGAAAGAATCAGTAGGCGGTTAGACGAAGTTGAAAAAAATCAATCCGTGGAAGAAAAGTCGTATGGTCAAATACGCCGGTACAAGATGTTCTGGCTACCAAAAAAGAATTACTAAAATCCATTATAGTAACACCAAAACACAAACAATCCTGCGACGACACCAACATAGACTTAAGTAAAAAAATCAAGCTTTCATTTTTGAATATACAAATTAAAACTGTAAAAAATACCATAAATAGTGGAAATGAGATAAAAGTGAATGAAGCCAATCATAACAAATTGAAAAACGAGCTACAGGATAAGTTGAATGAACAATATCAAATTTTAAAGCCAAACTTGAATACTCCAAAAATTAAAATAATAAATTATAAAAGCAATGATAAGCCAAGTGAAAAATAAATTGAAGAAGATTTCATGTTTCAAAGTGGCGACATTGAAGTGAAATGCATCAAACACTTTCCATCGAAAAATATTTGCACAATTCATTCAGAAACGTCTGGGAAGGCATTTGGGTCGGATGACAATGTCTCACTGGATATGAGAACAACATTTCACAATCTAGAAGATGCTTCCGCCTTAACCACTCGGAGAAAAACTGCCGAAACAAGAAAATGTGTGAAACCTATGGTATCGAACATGGAGAAAAAAATATAAGCATGAATCATTAGAATGTTGCAACTGTAAATACAGTCATGAGATATATCACAAAAATTATAACATTAAATACTTGCCTTCGGACAAAAATTGTACATCATATAAATATTTTCAAGAACAATACAACTTACATACTTTTGTAAAATTCTTTTAACATTCCAGTCTCAAAATATAAACTTGATAATGTTAGTAAACAAATATATAAATGAGTTCCAAATTCCAGGTATCCAAACAAATCTATCTCAAGACATTGATGAACTTAAATCATATACTCAAAATTCTAATTTAACGTTGAAAATTTACCATGTGCATATAAAAAGCATAAAACATAATTTAGATTATTTAAAAATACTTCTGAACAGGATTCAGTGTGATTTTGACATAATAGTTGTAACATAAATATGGCAAGTGCTTGCTACTCCTTTATTCAATATACAGGGGTATGTACTTGTCTACAAATATGCTGTATAACTATGGTGCTTATAACCAAAACGATGGAGTGATAGCGTATGTAAGAGATAGTCTCGTATGTAGTCATGATACATTTGATTTCACCAATGGAATTGAAGCTTTAAGCATTTTGGTTCAGAGAGATCAAAATAAAATTAAAATCACTGCAGTATATCCACCACCGTGTACAGAACCTCGCGGATTCATAAATAACATTACTTTAGAATCAAAACAGCGGTAATTTAAAACAACATATTTTCTTAGGTGATATTAATATAAACATTTTAGAAGACTACTAAATTTCAAACGACTACCTAAGCATTATACCCAACAACGGATTTTTATCGTACGTATATTAATCAGCCAACAAGAACCATCAGTAATACATGTATCATTGTTTTATCAAAGACCTTTCGAATAAATCTCAGTTATCTTTGAAAGTGATATTACCGACCAATTTTTTATTGTTTTACCAATGTCATTATGTGAAAATGATCCATGCACCCCTATCCCTCAAAAAATAACGAATACCAAGAAAATTATAGTTTATTTATTGATAATTCAAAATTAATTAATGTCCAACACAAGACAGGAAATATGGGAACAATTATATGCTAGTAGCAATGCAGATGAAGCTACGGACATATTCTTAGAGAAGGTTAAAAGATTGATAGATATCACTCGCAACAATGTAAAACTTATATGCAAACAGCGGGGTAGAAGTTCCTGGATTGCTATGGGCTAATAAAATCGTCAAATGAGAAGAATAGCCTTTACAAGTAGTGATGTGCCGAGTCGCTGTTTTGATGGATCGAGTCGACTCGAGTCAGTTTATACGGTATTCGAATCATGACTCCATTCCCTGATTCGAGACCAGTACTCGAATTCTATGTTTGGTCCAACACAAGACAGGAAATATGGGAACAATTATATGCTAGTAGCAATGCAGATGAAGCTACGGACATATTCTTAGAGAAGGTTAAAAGATTGATAGATATCACTCGCAACAATGTAAA